AGTGAGTCACTCTAGCCAATCAATGAAACCAACCTACCTTACTTTTAATTTCCACCAAATTTCTATTTGAATCATAATTAGCTCTTTGAGATATTTTTGAACTTCTTGACATTTTCAATCATTTACAGCCTACAATGTTACCAGTTTTCGTACGAGAGTTAAAAAATACTATAACCGCCCTCCCTAAAAAACGCCATCATAAGCCTTGTATTAGAATATATCTTCGTGCTACGTAAAAATATCCTATCGATAAAAGTTTCAACTGTAAGTTGAGGGACGGTTGAAAAATTATATATATATATAAATAATAATACTCAAAAGTTTGATATGTCTATCTTATTAATAAATAATATTACCAATTTATTCCAGTTTATTCAACAAAGGTTGGGCTATAATTTGAAGAATAAAGAGTTAAAAAGTTTTAAAGTACTCCTTTAAACCTTAGGTGGTGGCAGCACTATCTATTAAGATGCAAGAGAGTTTGTTTTTGTGTTTGTAATTAAGCACAAAGCTACACAATAGGCTATCTGTGCTCTGCCCACCACGGATATCGAAACCCGGTTTCTAACGTTCTGAATCCGTAGACATACCGCTGTGCTACTGGGGGGGATGAGCAAAAATTATATATCAATAGTAGAACTGCGGATTTTAAGCTTTGTAAATCTGTAAACTCACCGCTAACCATCTAGGGGACAAGTGTAGAGCCGTTGGTTTCGTAATACAAAGCTAATCAATGGCCTGTCTGCACTTTGACTACCGCAGAAATCGAAACCTAGATTTTAGCGTCACTTACCACTGACCCAACGTCGGGTGGAGGTTGGGGACTCGTCTTTTAAAAATCCATTTAAAAAAAAAGGTAAGTAATTCCTCAAAACGCTTTATAGAAGCTATAACAAAGCGTTTACTAGATTTTATCCCAAACATATTATTTAGTTATCGCTGCATTGAGCGAATAAGAGCAAAATGGACGCATTATGAGTGCGATGAATTACATTTATCACAGCAAACAAAGAAACATTGGCCTTTTACCACACCTCTTGGTAAAGTTGGGAACACTTTACAAAAGCCCCATCTCGTAGTATAGAGCTCTTCAATGTTGTGATGTATTGATTCCTTTTTTCCTATTGATAACATTGCTACAGTAATATTCTAAACGCCCCCCCCCCCCCAGTGGCACAGCGGTCTGTCTTCGGAATCACAACGCTACAAACCGGGTTTAGATACCCGTGGTGGGCAGAGCACAGATAACCCATTGTGTAGCTTTGTGCTTAACTACAAACAGATGTTGTAAACACCGTAGACAGTTGTTTTTTCTATGAATTCATCCAAACATTTTTTTTTCCAACAAAGATTGATTTGATATAACGCACACACATCTTATACGAGCAAACATGTTTCGAATTTGATGGGTTCGTCTGGAGTACCTTCATAGTGGTTATAGATGTGTCATATTCGTAGTGGTTTTTCAGCTGTATAGAAGCTCATCTTGGTATTATTCTTCATCATTAATCTAGCTGAGCTGATGTAGTCCTTTGTTTATCTTCTTTATCCAGATTGACCATGTTTTAGATTTAATGGAGTGACCGGTGGTTAGTCAACCACTATCTTTGGTCTTTTTAATATAACTTGGGTTTGTTTTCCTTTAGGAATGTATAGTTATAAATTACGTTTTCGCAAGGTAATTCTTTGATCATCTAAACCTTTCTTGTTCTCAACACATTTTTCTTAACTACGGATTTGGGTTTTCGGTTTATATCATAACTTTGTAGCACCGCCATCTTCTCAAGTGAAAACAATACTGGTTACTTTGTTAAGGGAACAATAAGATGAAAACTCAACATCCTTTCATTTTGTCAAATTATCTTGTAGAACAAACAAACAAAAAAGATCGCTACATATCGCGGAAGGATACAATTACAGATTTCAAATTGACAACAGCTTATGCACATGTGGTTTAAACAACTAGGTCAGAGACTTCTGGGATTCTGGTTTAGCCGTCCCTAATTTTGAGTTACTGACCAGAAGGTAGCCAGCCAGCCAGTAGCACCCTCCGCCATAAAAGCTTGCCCGACTTCTTGAATCACATAGCGAAATTAACCGTCTCTTTTATAACGCGTCCACAGCTTAAAGTAGCGAGTGCAATCAGCGACAATGCGTCTCGAACCCCAGACCCTTCGATTTACGGCCCAACACGCTAACCTCAGGCCATGCCCGGCTCAGTATACTTACAAAAGTGGTGTAAATTCAATGACTTGAAGAATAAATTATTAACAGTGTTACAAATACAACTATTACAATAAACAAAAGATAATATATTATCATAAACAATAATTCTCAGAACAGTAAAATATTTTTAGAAAGACGAAAGATATTGATATACGAAAGTAAGGGCAACAACAACAACAAATCCCACACTGTGTTTTGGTCCCTGCATCCTTATTTTATAGACCGGTCAAGGCTTAACGTTTCCAAACTATGAATCTGATGATTCGTGGTTCGCGAGCCATTGCGAAACAAAAAACAAAAAAACGCGTGTGCTGTAAGATTGACAGTTTTGGTTTTGTTATAAAATTATTTCTCAAAGCTACACAGTTGTTCCTAATTATGAAGTGATAGTCTAGAGGGAAAACAAACAGTCAACAGCACCCACCGCCAACTGGTGTGCTACTCTGATCTGAACGAACAGGGGTATTTGATCATCACTTAAAGTGCACCTTTATACCAGGGTTAGCTGGGCTAGTTGCTGTTTCCACCGCGAGGAATCGTACCCCGGATTTTAGCATTGTAAGTTCGTAAACTTATCGCTGTCCCATTGAGGAGACATCAAAAAAGTTGGTTATGTGTTATATTACACACTTCTTTAGTTGTATACATCTGGGTAAAAGGGTACTTGTCCTGATATTGTAATATATTTTATATAAAAGAACGAGTTAATATTATTTATCTAGTTTTTATTTTTAACGTGTTTTTTTCTTTTTTTTTACCACACAATGGGGTATCTCTGCTCTGCCCACGACGGGTATCTAAACCCGGTTTCTAGCGTTGTAAGACCGTAAACATATCTCTGGGCCACTGGGGGGGGGGGGTGCAATCAAACTTTTCGTTATAGAATTTGGTATATGTATGTATTATTTTAAAGACGTATCCACCATCTTTCTGTAACTATACTTACAATTAAGATCATTTTCATAATTAGATTTGCTTATTTGTTGTTAAACGCGAGTATCGAAACCAGGATTTTAGCGCTGCGAGCTCTCAGACTTACCGTTGAACCACTGGAGGGCTACAATAATTAAAATAAATAAAAATCCACATCTTTAATTCACTTTGCTAAATCAAAGAACTTAAACCTTCTAAATCAAGGGTGTTGGCCTAATATTCCACCAGGGAGAGCTAAGTGAAAGAAATCTTTAGACTATGTCTAGTTTAGTTCGTATTTATATTTTGGAACTTTCGCCTTTAGTCTGATTGTTCCTTTAATCATACACTCTGAACAACATAATCTTGTGTGAATCGATCTTTGCCGTCAGATGTTGTAGTTAGAGATTTAGCTACAGTTCACTGCCGTATTGATCCAGAACATAACATGGACGTTGTTCAGCTAGCGTCTTTTATTTATTTATTTTCATTCTCGAGCACTTTGACTTACTGATAAAACGTCTTACCTAAGTTTAAAATTCTCTAAGTTCGCCAAGGTGGAGAAAAAAAGGCACTTCTTGTGTTTGAATTTTAATGCGCGATTTTTTTTCATCCTGAATAAAAGTAAATAAATTTTGATAAAACAATTTTATTAATAACCTCTTGCGTATATATATTATTGTGATATTTAATTTACCAATTTTAACGATAACGACAGAATTATCATAATTACTAAAAGCAAATAAGAAGATAGTGTGTTCACCTATAATTGCCCCGCCCCCTACCCCTGGAAGTAATTCTGCAAGCTTATAACGCTAAAAATATTGGTTTGATACCTACGGTAGGCACAGCACAGATAGTGCAATGTGTAGCTTTGTGCTTTACAATAAACATTTTTTAATCAATATACTTTTTTTATCATCTTTGAGACAGACGTATATTTTCACATAAAAGAGTTTTTTTTTATTTGCTACAATTCACACCAGGTGTCTTGTTTCTCATTGATGCCTCCTGATGCACCACAAGTATCTTTCTTTTATGCTATTCTTGAGGATAACTGGCCGATTTCTCTAAAAAAAGAAAAACAAATCTCTTATGGCTCAACAAGATGAACATGATTTGAAGTTTTCGTAGACAAACGCATTACAGTACAAAGTTTACGAATAAGAACTGACTGAGAAACTGCTCGAATTTACAGTTGCTTTTAAGATCACGTTTTTCTAAGTAGTGTCTGATGGTTTTGGTTTTGTTTCTTTGTGCGCGGCTGTCATTATATTCTATAAAAGACGAGCAATTTAAATTAAAATGTAGGAAAATTTTAATTGAAATTAATTTTAATTTATTTTATTGAAGTTTCACAGTTTTGGTCTGATTAAGAACAAATAACGAAACCTTTAAATGTCAAAGTTTTACAGACTTTACTGATAAATTTATTTCTTTAATTCCTACGACACAAAAACTGCATTCGATACCCGTGGTGGGCAGAGCACAGATAGCCCATTGTGTAGCTTTGTGCTTAATTACGAACAAACCCTAAATTACCAACTTGTTCACTGTCGCTCGCGGGGTTCCAAATGTTTTTTTGTTTTGTTTTTTCTGCATGTAACGACACAATTTGTTTGTTTATTGAACTTGCGCAAAGCTACTCGAGGGCTATGGTTCGTTAGCCTACCTAATTTAAATTAAAGTGATAGACTGGGGGGAGGGAAGGCTGTTGGTCAACACCATTAACCGCCAGTTCTTAGGCTTTTCTAATCGAATAGTGGCATTGAGCGTCACTTATAAAGCCCCCAAAGCTGAAAGGGCGACCATGTTTGGTGACGGGATTCGAACCTGCGACCCGTAGATTGCGAGTCGAGCGCCCTAACCACCAGACAACGTCCGGCCTTCATGTCTATAAAGAGCTGACCAAACAATTGAGGAAAACTACTCGGTTTAAGTAAAAGACACAGGAGACCCCAGGAATAATAAGTGGGGTAATTAATTTCAACACTGGGGGTATTTTTATTTTTGTATGATTCGTATGTTATTAGGAACCCTGTAACAAATAAAAGTCAT